ATTCCCATACCAGGTACCATCTGCCTGTGAATACTCCCACCTACGTAAAAAACGTGCTGGTTACTAAGACTCGCCTGGATTTCCCACTCTCCTTCTCCTGGATGCTCTGTTACTCTACTTTATTGGGCGGAACCCAGGACATTTTGCTATGAAATACCCACTGTTCTATTTGCCTGGTCTGACACTTGGGAAGTTGTCATTGTGGTTACTCTGGGGTTCCTGACAGCCCCTGGCATCCTGAACTTTCTCCATCAGCCTCACCAGCTGGGTCAGGTTCCCCTGTGGGGAGGTTTACTGCCAGAACCTCACCTCTCCCTACCTTCTCTCACATTCGGTAGGTTTCTATAGCTAGTACAGCCAATATCTAAATACAGCAAAGAGGCTACCTGCAATAATACAGTGATGAGGACCAAACAATGGGGACTGAGAGGAAAGGCTAATGGTAGAGACCTTGCACTAGAAGAAAACACATGAAAGGTTTTGGAACTAATGGAATGTAGAAGATGGTAAGAGGCAAGGAAAAATCAGAGGACTCCATGGTTCAAAGTAAGGATAACAAAGAAAGCCATGTCTGCAACAGCATGGATAGCTGGGATTGCCAAGGGATCTGTTTTGCTTTGGAATGTATTTTGTACATAGTACTTTTCCATTCCCTCTTCCCTCACTCTGTGCTCATTCATAGCATCGATGAGTAGTTTACCACTTTAGAATGAAAGCTCCAGGAGAGCAGGTACCTTGCTTACTCACTCACCAAGAATACCCATCTCCAGAACAGTGCATGGCATACCTCACATTTTCAGTGCAGATATATGTAGAACTTAGGAATTGACCTGGGGTAACACGCACTCCTCAGGCATTGCTACCCATCAAGTGCTTGGGTAGATGTGGCTAGGTCTTGGTTGGAGACTTAGTTTGAAAGACGTGAGAAGAGATGAGAAGAGCACGTTCAAAGAAAGAGAAGAGTTAAGACACACAGCAAATTCCCTAAAAGGTTTAGGGGATGTGAGAAGCAGGAAAAGGAGGGGAAGGAAGGGTAAAGAGAGAATGAAAAGTCAAAGACAAGCAATATAATAATGTCATTTGTAAATCAAAGAAGGACTAACCAGTGATGGCTTATGTTGCAGAGTTTGGAATGGATGACCATGAGAGAGTGACATGAAATTTCCTGGTTGGGAGGTCTGGAATGTCATCAGTGGACTGCTGGACACGGGCATGTGGCAGAGGGAAAGGAATGACCCCAAGGAGAGAACGTGGGCGCAATGACACAGGCTGTATTTTCAAGACGTTTGGTCTTTTTTTTGGGGGGGGGGGTGGAGGAGGGAGGATGCAAGCAGAAGAGAGGGGCAGAGGGAAAGAGAGAAAGAATTCTAAGCAGGCTCCCTGCACAGTGTGGAGCCCAGCGTGGGGCTCAATCCCATGACCCTGGGATCATGACCTGAAAAGAAATGAAGAGCTGGAGGTTCAACCAACTGAGCCACCCAGATGCCCCAAGATATTTCTCTTAATAGTAACAGACTATGCAGAAGTTAGAGAAACAACTGTGTGTAGACAGGGGATTTGTTTGTATTCTTAGCTTTGGGGAGAAAGAAGCATAATTAAAGATCCAGAGGGAGGAGCCTTAGCCACTACCCCCACTCCACTCCCAGAAAAACAGATAGAAAAAAAAAAAAAAAGGAAGAAATGATTATATAGGAAAAGAAGTAAATGACAATTTGAGTTCTAAAAACACAGAAGGGATGTAACTATAAAGAGCAGAGAAGGGCTCTCTCACTCAGATGATGACAAGAAGCACTGGGGGAAAATAAATGGAAAGAGGACTATTCACCTATACTAGCACCTAACAGCCTACGGTCCAGCCTAAACAGAGTTGAAGATACAGGAAACTTTCCACTTTAAAATAAGGCCAGAGAACATGAAATCAGGGCACAGGCCCAGACAAGATGGCCTTCCAAAATAGAGTTGACAGCCAAGGACCACCAAAGCAGGCAGAGGATAGTACCCTTCTTCTATTTCTTCTTCTTCCTCTTCTTTTTTTTTTTAGATTTTTATTTTTAAGTAATCCCTACACCCAACGTGGGGCCCAAACTCACAACCACAAGATCAAGAGTATCATGCTCCACTGAATAAGACCCTTCTTAACTATCACCACCATAGGATTACAATGGCATTTATTACAGTGGCATTGATAAATCAGTGTTGCATCTTATACATACTAAACATTCCTACAACAGAAACCCAGACTAGTATAAGTAGTATTAATCACTACATAGTGAAACACAGTAAGATTCATATCCATGCAATTATAATACCAGGAGCTTAGGAGAAGGAAAAACAAAGAAGATTTATTATCCTTGGAAGAAATGTAACTTCTTTCAGATCCCGACATATCGTGGGATGTGCCTACGGTATACTTTATAGTTTACCAGACAGTGCATGGCCTTGGTCATATCCAAACAATTAGATTTCATTGTTTGAGAGAATTTATTAAAGAAGAAAACACCTTTCTCTTGGTTATTTCCAAATGCATCAGTTTTCCTGAAGACATGACATCCTTCCTCAATGTGAATGAAACATATATATTATTTTGTGTCTCCCTGTATTTTTAGCCTTTAATGGTATACTTCATAAAGCTCAGCATTAAAATAAGCACATGTTTAAAGTGAAAATAAAATACTTTATATTGGGACAGTTGATAACATGAAATTCAAGTAAAACAATATTAGTAATATGGGTTTAAAAAGAAATGACACAAAAAGTGTAGGTGATAAATTCACAAAGAATTGTTAACATATCTATTTGGCTTGTTTTTATTCTATGTCTATATTTTATTCTATGTCTTGTATTTTACTTATTGATGCAAAAAAAAAAAAAAAAAGAGAGACATCTAATAACCTTTTCAGGTTTTTAATGCACTTTGGTAGTCTTTAGGAGCTAGGAATACAGTATCCACAAATAACTCCTTGGAGCTAACAAATCCTTTGTGACTCTGAAAAGAAAACAGAAGGCAAAGATGGGTAGGCTATTCTCAATAAAGATGAGATAACATAAAATAGCACTTGATGCCTGTTTAAAATGATTTATCTTAAATATTCAGGGTTACAGACCCTCTACTGTTAAAATAATGAAAAAGAGATGACAATGAAAAGTGACGGATAATTTCTTTGTAGCTGTCTTTTCTACATTAGGGAGAGAGAAGTGAGTAGCCTAGATTCAAGTAAAGGGCAAACTAGACAAATGAAGACACTTCCTTCCATCCTCCCTTCTCAGTATCTTCTTACTACTCCTGTCTGGAGCCCTACTCCCATCTTGGGTAGCCATGGTAACCTGAAGAGCCATATTCTCTCAGTGCATAGGGAAATGCAAGAGCGGGACACTTAGGAAGATCAGTATGGTTCCATTCACAACTGAAGAACAAGGGAGAACAAGATACCAAGCCAGGGATTAGAGGGAGACAACAGAATCTGGAACTGAAAGCACCTTAGAATTCAACTCTAACTCTGATCTGACTTGCTCAAGGTCACACGGCACCTAGGTGGCAAGGACAATATCAGAACCCAGGTGTCCTCACTCAGCACAGCACACTGTTTACTTCCCACTGTCTCCTCATCCCAGAAGTCAATTAGAAACTACAGAAAATTTAATAACCAAGCTAATCTTATTTCCCCCTAAACCAAATCTCTTTTTTTTCTATCTTTTCATTATAGAAATTTCCAATACCGCCAAGTAGAGAGGTAAGAATAATAAACCCCATGTACCCATTGCTGAGCTTAAACAATTACCAACTTGTGGCCAGTCTTCTTTCATCCATACTCACATCACCTCCAGGATTATTTTGACATGAGTCCCAGATATAGTATCATTATTTCTTTTTAAACATTAAGTGCTCAAAGAAGTTATATAGCTACACATGCATTAGAGACAATTTCGTTAGGAAGCTTTGGTGTCCCTATTCCATACCCTTGTGCTATTTGAGGTACTTTCTGTCTTTCTTTTTTTAAAGATTTTATTTTTAAGTAATCTCTACACCCAATCTGGGACTCAGGCGCACAGCCCTGACATCAAGAGTTGCACACTCTACTGACTGAGCCAGCCAAGTGCCCCTGAGGTATTTTCTATTTTATTTCATTGCCCTAGAACTAAAGGCCAACTCTTCGGTCAGCACAGACCAGTAAGATACGCTCTGTGACCCTGCATACACTGACAATATTAACCTCGGGGCAATGAGGAATTCTGATGAAGGGATTGTATTAGGCAACAAGCAGGGAGAGAGTTGAACTTACATCATGAGATAAATGCCTTTCTACCTTAAAGATAATCCCACTGATATCAGACACTTGTTTAAATTGGACTTAACTCTGGCCTGAGATTAAAGCCCATTTCTTCTGTGAGTCCACATGAAAGGTACCAAATAATGTAATTCTTAAAGTATAACAAACCCACAAAATGATTATAATAAATCTTCACTCCAGTAGTGATATGACTCTCTTAGGAAAGAAACCATTTATATGTCCTAAAGGCATGATGAAAATTTTAAATTTAACAATAAATACAGCAACACTTTGACTTCAAAATTTAAATTTTGCCCACAGAACAAATACATTCCAAAAAGACATTTAAAAGTTTCTAAAATTAACAAACAGGATTGTACTGGTAGAACTAAGCAGATAGATAATAGTGTAGGTGTGTGTAAATGGATACTTTCGCTACCATGTTGACCATTAACATTTCCACCTCTAATTTTCTATTTCAACTCTCTCTTCCTCCACACTAGTTTTCTGTATGAATTTACAAGTATATATTTAAAAACAGAATATATTAGAAAATCAGTGAGTGGAAAAGGAGGCGAATCAAAACTCTTAGGTTGTTTCATCCTAACTACTTTCATTTCAAATATGGATTCCCCCCCACCCCCCATGGGGAAAAAAACCTTACAAGACACAACTTTTTATCTTGTCAAAGATTTAACAATTTATCTTTTAACAAAGTTCTAATATCCATACCTGCTGAGGTTTCTCTGAATTTGTCACTGGTCTTCTTTTTCCTCCATTTCCAAGGCTTAAAGATTTTACCGATGGTGGAGAGTTTCCCCTTCCTCTTGAAGGGAGGTGTTTGGGAGCCTGCTGTTGGACCATCTGAGTTTGCTATGGAAGCTTTGTCTAGTCCATCAACTGTATAAAGAAAAATAAAGTCAGAGAAAAGCTGTAATAAAAGTTTGAAACGACATCATGTGTTTCTTCCTGTACTGTAATAGCAAGCATGGCCGCTTTAATTGGAATCTCACATAAAGTTTATTTTCCCCTGCTTCCCAGCAGGTAGAACTCCCCTGATCTAAATCAGTAATTCAGTCAGTCAGAAATTACGGCCCCCGCAGATAATCATTTTGGGGAAAAAGAAGAGAAGCGAGAGACTTACATACTGGCTAGGGCCAGACAAATAAGGGACTGTGACACACAGATGATGCCATCTGCAGCAACTACATCAATATTTTGTGAAGGAATAGAATATTCTGCGTAGTAAAACCTTGGTTTGTGAGCCTAATCCATTCCAGAAACATGCTTGTCATCCAAAGCACTTGTATATCAAAGTGAATTTCAAGAACGCTTGGCTCAGTTGGGATCTTGTGACATTCAGTGTCACATTCGTATTGCAAGACACTGCTTGTTTATGAAGTTAAAATCTGTTAGAAATGGGGGGCGCCTGCGTGGCTTAGTCAGTTAAGCGTCCGACTTTCGTTCAGGTCATGATCCCGCGGTTCGTGGGTTTGAGCCCTGCGTCGGGCTCTGTGCTGACTGCCAGCTCAGAGCCTGGAGTCTGTTTCAGAGTCTGTCACTCCCTCTCTCTCTGACCCTCCCCTGCTCACGCTGTCTCTCTCTCTCTCTCTCCTAGAAATAAATAAAACATTAAAAAAAAATTTTTTTTAATTAAAAAAAATTGTTAGAAATGTTTACTTCTCTTGCGGAACACTTGCAAAACAAGTTACTTGCAATCCAAGGTTTCACTGTATTCCTAAAATTGAATTTCCTCAAAAGGCTAGTATGACATTCTCAGTAATGAATATTACAGTTATGGTATAGTTAAAACCATAGCTTCTCCTCCACAAAATTAAACGGAGTGCCAAGAAGCTAAATTCTAATTTCAGTACTAAAATTATCTTTTGCTCCTATTAAAAAAAAAAAGGGTTTCAGCTTCATATAAACTGGTAATTTTCACTAACAACAAGAAATGTGTGGAAAGGTGGCTATCATGTGTGATAGAACTTTAGTGTCTTAATCATTTTATTAATTAGAAAAAGGCCCCAAACCCTAAGTTGTCTTGCATGATGTTCAGAACAGAAGGAAGACAATGATGGCTTATGTTATTCCAACCATTACATTTGAACGACAAAAAATTGGAAGCAGCCCAGAATGGATAAATTATGGTATTGTTCATGCAATGAAATAACACTCAGCAGTAATAATGATAAAAACCCACTGACATATTCATACAAATACATGAATGTATCTCAAAAACATTGTGCTGAGAAAAAGCCAAACACAACAGAATACATACTGTATGGTTCCATTTATATGAAGTTCTAAAGGAGCCAAAATGAATTTATGACAATAACAAAAAAAAAAAAGAAAGAAAGAAGAAAATCAGAACAGAATCAGTTGCTTCTTGGAATGAGATGGAAGTAAGAATTGAAGAGAACTTACTGGGGTGACTGAAATTATCTCAATAAGGGATAGATCATGCAAAACTCATCAAATGGTAATTTTGATATTGTTCATTTTACTTTATATAAAATTTACCTCTAAAGAACCCATAAATAAATAGTGAAGTCCAATTAATGATATGCATGCTGATATGTTTAGAGGTAAAGTGTACTGATATCCATCAAAAATAATTAATAGGGGTGCCTGGGTGGCTCAGTCAGTTAGGCATCCAACTCTGGATTTCAGCTCAGGTCATGATCTCGTGGTTTGTGAAATCGAGCCCCATGTTGGCTCTGTGCTAACAGCACGAGTCTGTTTGAGATTCTTTCTTTCTCCCTTTCTCTTTGCCCCTCCCCCACTCAGGCGCGCGCGCGCGCACACACACACACACACACACTCTCTCTCTCTCTCTCTCTCAAAAAAAATTAACTCTAAAAAAAAACTAATGGACAGATAGATGGAATGAATAGAGAGATAAATACAATAAAGTAAAATAGAGCAAAACATTAAGTGTTGAATCTGGGGTGGATACATGGTGATTAACTGTGTAATTCTTTCATCTTCAAGACATTTGTAAGAAAATATTGGGAAAAACAAAAGAAAAATTGAATGGCAAGGACTTCTGCTTACAAGAAGATAGAGTAGACTCACTTTTTCCTATTCCTTCTGCTAAATGCAACTTAAAAACCTTGGACGCTTCTTATAAAATAAACGTTTAAGACTTTGTAAAGTGAAAAGCAAGTAGATCACCCTGAGACCTCAGGACCCAAGAAACAACATGGAGGTAAGACCCCTGGGGTTTCTTTTTGTCTCATATATACCAGACTTGTAGCTGAAGCAGTCACCAACCTGGAAACAACATCAGGCATAGACCAAAAAGCCTCAACAAAAGCCTACTCTCTCTAGTCAAAAGAGGAAAAAGGGACAGCCTAGAAAGATGGAAAATTTTTAGACAAGAACTGCTCTACTCCAGCTAAATACCACAGAAGAAACTATGACCATCAATGCCAGCAAAGGCTGAGTGTGGAGACTAGACATCTACCCTCACAAAGCTCTAACAAGAAGCCCCAACTCATCTGTCAGAGAGATGTCAAGAAAGACAAAGTATGGAGTCAGGACCTTCATGTCTACCAGATGGCGACGAACCATCCTCTACAGTGTCAGTAGACACCGTGTGGGAGCCTGGACTTCTATCTCTACCCAGCAGTAACAAGTGTCTCTCTTCCTCCCTACCTGCAAATATTGGGGTGCTATCAAACCACTGCCCAGTGGGAACAAGACCACCTCTATCTACCATGGTATGAGTGGAGACCACACAGAGATCTGGAAATACCACCATTCTCAAAAGTAATGATGAGCATCCCTCGCCCCCCATTTCTACCATAAGGCATGAGGATGAATGGAAAAGCTGGCTTTGACCTCTACCTGGCAGTAATGAGGTGGCACCCCTCCTCCCATTGCTGGAAAGATGGCAGACAAAGCCAGTTTAAAAAAAAAGGATTCAATAAGATTTTGAGTCCCATAATAAAAAAATGTCTACATGTCAATCAAAAATCAGTTGGTTAAGAGTCCGACTCTTGGTTTTAGCTCAGGTCATGATCTCGTGGTTTGTGAGTTCCAGCCCCGAATTGGTGCTGTCAGCACAGAGCCTCCTGAGATTCTCTCTCTCCCTCTCTCTGTCTCTCAAAATAAATGAACTTAAAAAAAAAATTTTTTTTAAATCACTTGACATACCAGAACTAGAAAAATCTTAAACTGAATGAAAAGAGATCATCAACATACACCAACACCTAAATACTTATGAGCATTTTCCAAAAAAAAAAAAAAAAAAAAAAAGATAAATTCCATTCTTCCCTCTAGTGATATCTATTCTAATTTTAGGTAGAAGAAATGCAAATCCTGCAGTGACTGATTCTTCCATATATGTTTCCTGACCCTATGTTACCCTACTCATACTGGCCAAAGCACAAGCAGAGAGAAATATCGGACAGACTGATTTGGAAGCTAAGCCAGAGTGAAAATGTAAAATCCTTATTTACTTAACTTCCACTCTAGTCCAACCACCTTCCTCAAAGAAGGGGTAAGTCTAGAGAGGAACAATGTGTATAGTGTTTCTTCTTTTTTGAGATTTTATGCTGAAGGGCTTAATTTTGAACAATTTAAATGTTGTGAAACATATAAGGGCTGACTATCACAAACATAGGAATGAGAGTCTACATCTCAAATTTGCCTCTGTGGCTATAGACACACATCTACTTCCCATTTTCTTCCAAGCCACATACCCCGTTCCCTGACACTCCATAAAAATTCTGCTTTTGATATAAACCATTTTAGAATAATCTTCTTTTTCTACTAAAAACAAAAATAAACAAAAGTTACATAATTCTCTAGATGACAGATGGGGAGACTCAGTGAGTGAAGAATTAAAGCGTTAATGTTAAGTTCACAGCTGCATAAGAAATTAATTGCTGTTATCTTTCTTTATGATGCATTTACAGTTCCAGTCTTTATCTCTACTCTGGAAAGGGCCTGGGCCAGTGCCAATGACCACAGCAGTGCACACATAGGCATATCTTTTTTCTGACTGAATACATTCACCTGTAATTTTGTAATTGTCAGGTTAGTAGAGCAAACCACGTTTGCAATTAGGAACCATATGATGGCACAGATGGCCACACTCCATTGTACTTCTCTTAAATCATGAATGTGTAGGGGATTTTCATCTGCTTTTGAGTAGTATGAACATAATATAAACCCTCTTCTCTCCTCCAAACACCTTGGACACTGCCAATTCCACTGAATTTTGCATTTACATGCAGAGAACAACAAATTGCTAGGTAAATCCCAGATGAAAGCCTAAATTTCCTGACTGTTTTGAAGGTTAACTGTGATCAACTTTTATGATACAAAGAATATCCTGTTCTTCATCAGAAGTTTCTTTTTCACACTTGAGATCAGCATTCTAAACTACATAAAATATTTTAGATCTTTAAATATTTTAATACTGTGAAATACAATCATTAGCTGTTCTAAAACATACATTTTAAATAACAGCTAGGTCTATCGTCCCACTGAAAGGAGCTTATGACTAACAGGACTTCTCCACGTCACCAACTGGTGAGAATTCAGAGAATATAGGCAGGTTTTATTTTTCATTTAAACAGAAATGTATCAAATAGGCAGCTAATAGTAATGTACCAATGCTCTGTTCCTTGGTTGTAACAAATTTATGCTACTGATAAGTGAGATGAACAATAGAAGAAATCAAGTAGGGGGTATGTGAGAACTCTCTGTACTATCTTTGCAACTTTTCTACAAATTTAAAACTATTTTAAAGTTTTATCTATTTAGAGAGAGAGAGAGAGAGAGAGAGCATGCACACACAAGTGGAGGAGGGGCAGAGAGGAGAGAAAGAATCCCAAACAGGCTCCCACTGTAATTGCAAAGCCCAATGTGGGGCTCAAACCCATAAA